TCACAAAGAAAACTTCCAGCCCAGAAGATTTTACTGGTAAATTTTACCAAGCATTTAAGGAAAAAATAATGCTATTTCTACCCAAACATTTCCTGAAAATTGAGTGAGAAAGAATAGTTCCCAACTTCATTTATGAAGCCAATATTACTCTGCTAACAAAACCTGACAAAGACATAATAAGAAAATTAGCAGACCAACATTTCTAAGGAACATTGATACAAACATTCTAAAAAAATTTTAGCAATTTGAAGGGGCTAAAATCAAGGTAACAAATCATGACTAAGTGGAGTTTATCATAAGAATATAGGATTAGTTTAGCATAAAAAAATCAATGACATTCCACAGATAAAAGAGATAAATTCAACTTCATCAAAATTAAAAATTTGTTCTTCAAAAGACACTTTAAAAGAATGAAAATAAAAACCACAGACCAGAATAATATATTTGCAAAGGATCTATATAATAAAGGAGTTTTTCTGTAATATACAAAGAGATTTAGAAGCTCAGTTATATGAACATAAACATCCTAATAAAAAAATTAACAAAAGACTTGAATAGATACCACCAAATATATACAGATGACCAATAAAATAAGCACATAAAATAATGCTCAGTATCATTACTCATTAGGGAAATGCAAACTAAAACCACAATGAGATACTACTATACATTTTTAGAATATATAAAAATTTAAAACCTGGAAATATCAAGTGTTGACAAAGATACGGAGGAACAGGAACTCTTAAAATCTATAGTGACAGAAAACAAACCATTGATTGCCTGGAGGAGAGCAGCAGGAATGATGGATTACAAAGAGGCAACCCCCTCAACCACCCATCAACATCTACAGACCATAAGGAAGTCGAGAAAGCTACTTGTGTCCCAAAGGGCAAAACATCTAAGAGCTTCTCCAGATGTGGCCAAGCCAGGTAATGAAAAAGAGGCACATTTCATAGAGGAAGGCTAGGAGGTATGGCAAAAATTGGACTTAGAAATTACATTTAAGATGTTTCTAAAATAAAGGAAAACAGGTGGAGAGTTGAATACATGAATCAGATACTCAGGAAGAGATCTGAACTAGAGATAAAATTTGGGAGTTGTCAGCAGCTCGATTGCATTAGAAGATGAGTCTGCAAAGGACACAGGAATGGCTAGATATTTGGAAAAAATCCCTGAGTAAAATTTTAATGTAATCTCACTTTTGCTGTCCTCATTACTTATTTCTTTTGCGTCACTTCCATTTCTCTAGCCTAGAGACTAATGTGCAAGCATCAGAGCCTGCTGGGTCTGCCCCTTACTTTAATATTTGCTGGATTTTCAGCACAGTTTGAACAGTGACTCTCCCTTCCTAATTCACCTCTGTATGTCCAGAGAGGACAGTAAACCCCATCACATGGGAGAGAGACCTACAACGCACCTGCACATTCCTTCACCTTGGTTTTTACCTTGAATTCCCTTTCTTCCACATACACATTCTACTTTGTGCTCTGGCTATATCAATAATTGTTTTTTATAAATTTCGAGTGATACATTAAAGGTTTATATAGGTATCAAAAATAAAGAGCTATAAATACAATGAAGATCTGTTTGTCAACCTCTCAGTTTAGGAAAAAGAACTTTACAATTATCTTTGAAGTTTTCTTGTGCTTCTCCCCAATTCCATCTCATTCTCTCCTTCCTCAGAGATAACAACCAGACTGCATTTTGTGGTTCTCAGCAAATGAGGAATAGAAGGAAACTTCCTCAAACTGATAAAGAGCATCTACAAAAAACTACCGATAATATCTATTGTGTCCATGCTTCTCTCTATAATTTTATCAAGCATGTTTGTATTTCTAAAAAAAGTTACATTTTGCATGTATTTTTATCTTCATATAAATAAAGTTATTATTCTAATGTGTTCCTGTGCTCAATATTATGTTCCTGGGATTTGTTATGACATTTCATGTAGCTGAGAACTACTCATTTCTTCATCTATATTGTATGCTAAGGTATATCACAATTTATCTATTCTGCTTTAGCCTTATTCCATTAGTTTTGATAGGTAGTATTTAGTAATTTCATTATTGTTCAGGTCTACGTATATTTAAATACCAATTGTGATTCTTGACTCATGAACTATTCAAAAATACACTTAAATTTTTTTTTAAATACCTGAAGCTATTTATCTTTTGTTACTGACATTTCTGTTTTCATGGAATATACATTATCATAGTCTTTTCTGTAGAAGTATAACATAAAGCACATATGTAATTTTAAAATGCTTAGTTGCCACATTAAAGACTAAAAATAAACACGTAAAATTAATTTTAATAATTTATTTAACCCAAACTATCCAAAGTATTATTTAAATATGTAATTGTCTTAAAATGTTATCACGGGTATTTTAGATTTTTTGTACCAAATTTTCAAATTGGTATGTATTCTACATTAACAGTACATCTTAATTTGAACCAGCCGCATTTTAACTGCTCAATAATTACGTAAGGCAAGCGGCTACCATGTTGAGCAATGCAGGTTATATTATAACAATTGTTTGAAATTAGCTAAAACTTAACTTTTTGTCCTAGAAGTGGTCAATTTCATATGAGCTGGAAAATAAGGACATGTTTATCCACTAATTATGTACAAGGTTCTATATGTGAACCTTAAATCTATCTTAGGAACCTTCAGTCTTCTATATCTTTAATGAACTATTTCTTTGCTTGATCCTGGATTGCTACATTACACAACTATAGTAAAGACATTCACATAACAGTCTGGAGTTGTACAGTTTATACTTTCACTGACATATGTGGTGGTCCTGGGCTGATTTGTCTATAACTGAGAAAGCTATGGTAGATTCTACCACTAAGGTGCAGATTTAAGAATTTCTTTGTACAGTTATATCAAATTTTGCTTTATATATTTTGAGGTTATTTTAATAGGCACATATAAGTTTAAAATATTTATAGTAAATTAAACTTACCATAATTATCAACTCTGAATAATGACTTTTGTCTTACAGTCTACTTTGCCTGATATTAGCATAGTTACCTACTTCCTTTTCCTAAATATATCCCTGATGTATCTTTTCTAAACCTTTCCTTTCAATATTTCCATGTCCTATGTTTTAGGAATCTCTCTTATAAAATGCATATAGCTAAAGTTTGTTTGTGTCAAATCTGTTTCTCTCTTAATTCATGAGTTTAGTTTATCATTATTGTGATTATTTAAGATTTTAATTTCTCTCTCTTTTTCTACACTATTTTCTCTTTTTAGGCCTTTTTGCAGAAAGGATTGTTGGACTTCTGTTTGTTTTCTTAGTACACTTTTTCACTAATAGTATATTTTGTTTTTATTCTTTTAGAGTTTACTCTTGAAATTTTGCCATGCATACTTAATGAAGTCTAAAATTAATATCTGAAGCTCCTCTCAAATAATGCAAGGGCCAGAGAACATTCAATTCTGATAACTGCTCTCCTTACATACATGCTACATTTTTGTCCAGTATTCTAGTTCTTTCTTATTAGTTTCACTAATTGAACGTAATTAAAAATATGTTATACAGGCAACATTTACTTCTATGTACCTATATACAGGGCTAGCTATAATTCTGGAAAGAGAAGTCTGAGAGTTTTTTTTTTCAATCACTTTCCCTCAAATGATATTAATATCAGGATTACCAAATCAAATGTGCCTTCTTATACTTATGGCATTAAAATTGTCTAGCCTAGAAATGTAAGCACTATTTTTATGGTAAAAATGTTTAATAATATAAGAGTGACGCTAGAATAGAGCTCAAAAGATTAAGAAGCTACTACAATACTCTAGGTGGGAGATAAAGTCAAGAAACTTAACAAGGGTTTTGGTAGTAGGAAAGGAGGAAATAGTTTTAGATACCCCAAAGAAGCAGACTATACATAACTTGCTATTACATGGTTGTGATAGAACAAAGAGAAAGAAATGTCAGAGATGACTCAAACCTTCAAAGATGACTCTTGAAGGTTTTCAGAAGTCAGGAGGAAAGGAAAGATTGAAGAGGTGATATTTAATTTGGCTTTTGATGTATAGAATTATTGGTGTTGATGGGTCATTAGAGTGGAGGTGTTGAACAGGCAATTATAAATCAAAGTCACAAGTTTTTGCAGAAAGGTCAGAGCTAAAAGGAAGTGAGTGATGATGTAAAACAAAAGGATTAGGAGAAGGAATGAGCAGTAGAGAAGAATCACATGCATAGAACATAAAAAGAGTCACAGTGATTGTGCGAGGAGGAAGGGCCCCGATCATTAAGTGTGCTTTTGCTGCTACTAATGATTCCCTATCTTAATTTCAGTGCCCCTGTGAAATTTTCTCTTGAATTTCCTCCTGTCCTTACTTCCATCCAGAGGATCACAAGCTAAGCATTAAGACCTGCTTATGTAGATTAAGATGTTAAAGTGATCTTTATGTTTTCTAATTTCTGATATGTTTTATACTGTATTGCATCCCTGACATCACACATCTCTCTACTTAATTTGGTTTGTTCATATCAATATTTGAGATAAGCAAAAGGAAAGAAAATTTTACAGGTAAGTAAAAGAGAGGAACTGCCAACATGTATTGACTTTATGGCATATCCTAACATATTTTCCTTTTTTAAAAGGAACCAAATATTGTCTGGTGCTATTACAGAATTTACTCATATACTTTTTCAACCACAACTTACAACATTTTATTTTTTGCACACATGAATAGCCAGAAGACATTTTATTGTATTTGTGACTCTATATGTGGTTAGTATTTATTGCAAAAATAATGTCTTACTACTTATTAAGCAAAAATTAATCCCGGGAAAATATCATGTATACAGCACTTATAAACTGCTGTTAATAGTTCAAATGATATATAATAGCAGCATATATACTGCTAAAGAAAATAAACAGACTAAGTTGTGAAGTAATATCTTCCGTGCCAGGAACTACAACTTATGAATTGCATTAGGGGTGAGTATTGACTCATTTGTCGGGTTTGATTTTCAGGGAATTGATGCTGATTTCACATCAGAAAAGCATTGAGCAGCTGCAGGAAACCCTTAGACAGAAGCTGCTGAGTGATGATAACTGGAAGGAGAAGGTAATGGTAGTGTGGTTTTCATCAACATGCAACCTATTTGCTTTTTAAAAATTCTGTCCATTTGTCAAAAGACTCTTCCAGATAGATTTCCTTGCTTCTATGCACACTTTTGATTCCTTCTAAAATTTCCTAGGCCAGACATGCTTATGGAGTGGGTCTTTTCCAAAATATTATACAACATAATGGGAAATAAAAAATTAGAACACATTTTGAATTCTTGTAAGATAGCTCTTGGTTCTCATGCAAAAGCACATTTTTTTGCATTTAAGTATTTTCTTATTTCCCCATTAACTGTCACAGTCTACATTTGATCATTTTCTTAAAACCAAGGAAATAATTCTTACGACTTTTCTGCTTCTCTTAGAAGATAAAAGAATGGAAAATTACTTAAAATTATTCAGTTTTGAACTCTTGACATATTTACCCTGACAAAATAAAATGAATAAGCATTTAGCTTGCTATTATTTACAGAGAAATGTTTGCTGTTGGAGTAAAAAAAAATTGCATTGATTTTGGTCTTTGGACTTTTTTATAGTTTTCAAAGTTTCAACAATGAATATATATTACTTTCATAATTTTAAATAATAAAAGTAATATTTAAAAAAACTTTTAATCCCTACCTACTCAGGCCATCCACAGGTCTAGTCATTGAGTTAAAAGCAGTCTTCTTTCTGCCATAAACTTCTAGTACTCCTTCATAGATCCCTGGGCCCTATTCTACACACTGACCCAAAGCATTCCCAACTCATTCTTTTCCATGAGTGTTATCTATGCCTAGCACTGTCCTTCTGCCTTAGTTTTCTTATTATGTCTTAAATTTTACTCTAGAAATGGAGCTGGTTTCCAAAATTCTGATTGTTTGACTGAAGTCCTGACAACTTGTTTGGATTTTGTCAGATTCTTCTCCTTCCAGATACAACCCCATAACTTGTAACCTCAGCAACAAGCAGCGGCCTCCCTCAGACTAACTCAGGAATCCCTCACTCCACCATCCAGCATACTGAAACCTGTTAGGCATTCTTGCTGGCTCAGATCATTTTTAAATTTGTTGCTTTCATTTCCAATCTTCAAATAGTTGGCCATACTCAGCCAAAAGTAGCCGTCTAAAAATAAGTATCCCTTCCCTTGTCCATCAGGCTCCACAGTCAGGATATAATAAAAATAACCACTGTAACAATAGTACCCCATGGGCCAAAACAAAATTGGAGAATATGAACTAACATTGCTATTTGTGTCTCATTCTTATTTTGTTTTATTTTGTAACATAGGCCTTTTCTTTTTCTTCTTCTCTAAGGCCCACCTTCTTTAATTCTAATTTTTATTAGCCTCAGGGTATTCCATTGAGTGATCTGTACTTATTCACTTGCCCTATCCTTACCAATCTATGTTTAAAAATTAAAAAGGAAGATTATCAAGCCTATTTTGTGTAATCCAAAGTATTCAAATTAGGACAATGAAAGATTATTGTTTATCCATCCAACTAATAGAATAGTTAAACACTGTGGTTAACATCTAGTGAAATCATCTCTCATACCTACTCTTTAAGGGACAAGAAATTAAAACAACCTTTTTGGAAAGCAGTTTGTCGATATGTATCAAGAGATATTGTAAACTTCCCGTCTTTTAACTCAGAAATTTTACTAATGGAATTAACATGGATAGAGATTCAGGGAGTCATTCCTCTTCTAAACTCCTGAGCTTCTCTTAGTATGACAGAGTAAACTTTCCTGTTTTTGCTTGTGTAGAAATTTCCCATCGCCATATTCACACCTCACTAGGGGTTTTTGGATGCACTTCACTGGAGAAAAGGTCTCTGTTTATGATTCCCTCCCTCTAGTACTTCTGTTCACTGTACCCTGTCCTTGAGGTGCTAACACAGAGTAGAACAAGTTAGTGTTACCATCTGACATGTAAAAGCCTTTATGTTCTTGCTTTATGCTATCAAGTTAATCTGGTGGTAAAAATAATTCTATATAAAATTCTATAAGTTCTTGTTAAGACCATGATATCTTTCTAATGAATTAATTATACTACAGAGGTATTATGGCATGTATAATTTTATATAGTATAAATGGACATTTCATTTGGTTGAAAGGACATGACTTCTTGCTAATAAATGTTATCATTTAGCTAGCAGTAAATCAAGATCCAGACAAGGAAAGCCAAGGAATAATAATTATGCCTTGGCTGAGTTAGCTATTGAGACATGAATAAAAGTTCTCTAAAAGTCTTCTCATGAGAAAGGAGAATCGTTAATATGACATTGTCATCTTTTTCTTGGGTCACTGTACCTTTGCCAAAAAATAAAATGTTCTTTTTACAAATATATAATACACATAACAAAATAAATTTCATAGCTTAAATTGTTTTAACATGCAAAAAAGTAGATAGCAATTTGTGTTTGTGCTTAATTATTTTAGAGTATGTAAAAAGCACATAAGATCAATAGTTGCTATGCAACAAGGATGGCACATTTTAAAATAACTGCATATTTACTAATTGTCATGGATTTTTGTTTATTTCAAGTATTACTATTTGCAGAGAGCAAATTAATGTGCATGCTGAACCTTTAAAATTGGTTTTAAATGTACAATGTTGTTACTATTTAGTTAAAATTTTGTAATTAAAAAATCCTATAGCCACTCTGCTTACTCAACTCACATTATTTAATCACTATAACTTTATAGCACAATAAGCAAATTCCAAGCAAATATTTTCTTAGATTATCATCAAGATATCACCCTTAAGAACTTTTTTTTCGGCGGGGGATGGAGTTTCACTCTGGTTGCCCAGCTGGAGTGCAATGACATGATCTTGGCTCATCGGTTTAAGCAATTCTCCTGCCTCAGCCTTCAGAGTAGCTAGATTACAGGCATGGGCCAACACACCCAGCTAATTTTGTATTTTTAGTAGAAATGGGTTTTCTCCATGTCAGTCAAGCTGGTCTTGAACTCCCAACCTCAGGTGATCCGCCTGCCTTGGCCTCCTATAGTGCAGGGATTATAAGTGTGAGTCACCCTATCCAGCCCCAAGAACACTTTAGAATTGCACTATTGACCTCATTTAAAATAGTACATAGAGCTTTTGAGAAACCAGTAGTTAAAGCAAACAAATAAAACCTTATTTTTTGGCTGAAGCAGCTGGATTGATAGTGAAAATGCAGGTAAAAAAAGTCTACTTCAAGAAATAGTCAATTTCAAAATTGAAGGGAGGCAAAAAAAAAATCTCAAATTCCTTTTTGAAATGGAAAAAACAAATTTCTTAATGTGTTTTAGTATACTATTATTAAAGTAAAAGGAATAATTTCTGACATATAAAATATGACAGAGATGACATTGTTATTTATAAAATATCGATTTTAACTTATGAATAATAAACATGGCTAAAAGGAATATTGAGGACACTTTAATTTTTATATATTTTAAAATGCAGTTTTAGAAATTGAATTAATAAAATCCAAAAATTTTAGATCTGGACTGGCTTGCAAAAATTATCTTATAAACCACTAATCTAGAAAACAAAAATAGTCTCCCATTATTAATGTAATTTTAATCATTATGACATTATTATTCCCATTTTGCACATTTTAAAAAAGACTTAGAGAAGTTAGGTAATTTGGCAAAGTTACAAAGGAAATGAGCTGAGAATCAACTTCCATGTATTTAAATACAAAGTTCAATATTTCTGCATTTGACCAAGATGGAGTAATAGGGACCAAATTTACTCTCCTACCTCAAACAAATAAAACAGTGAAGAAAAGATAGAAAACAATGATTTTGAGACATTGGACATCAGGAAATGAAGGAAAGTGATTCTTGGAAACAGAAGACAAACAAGGTGAGTTCTATGACTGCCATAACTTAGTGCTTTGAAAGAAATTTCAGGTCATGATGCAGGGAGTGGAAATCCAGTTTGAAACTGTTCGATTCTTTGGGTTGAGGGAACCTTGCAGAGTCCTGGGAGATCATGGTGGGTAAAGTTCACAGATAGTGTTCACAGGAGCAGCTGCACAGAGGAAGAACACTTTAGATCTACAAAGAGTCCTCCTTGTATATGTTTATAATCAATGTGTACATGTGGGGAAACTAAATAAAGCCAGGGACAGACCCAGCCAGAGAGAGTAATGAATACTCACACATGGCCAGTAATTTGCATTTCTATCAGCCAGACTAGAAAACCTGTAATTTATAAGGCCCTGGGTAGAGTGCTCAAAAGAGTCTTGCATCATAAGTTGAGAGTAATTAGCCCTACATGAAATGCTGATTTGATTCTGCCTAATATATTTTAAAAGGAATATCTAAAATAATCAAACTGATTTCAAAAAACCTAGAAACTTGCATCCTAGGACAGAGCTCAAGGATATTCAAAGGAATACAAAAAGATCTAGCACCTAACAAGGTAAGTTAACAATGTCTGGCATCCAGTGAAGAATTGTCATCCATGGAAATATGCAAGAAAATAGAGCTGAAGTGAAAAGAAAAATCAGTGAATAAAAACTGACCCAGAAAGGTGCAGATATGAGAATCAGCAGAAAACACATTAAAACAAATATGGTAACTGTATTCCATATGTCCAGAAGCTAAATAAAAAATGGACTATGTCAAGCACAGAAATGCAAGATACAAAAAAGACCAGTTACTGAATTTTGAGAGATGAAAACTAGATTATCTGAAATTAAAAGTACACTGGATTAGATTGATGGCAGATTAGACATTCCAGAAGAAAAGCTTAGTGAACTTGAAGACACAGCAATAGAAAAACTTTTCAAATAAAACAAGATATAATAGACTCTACAACAAAAACAAGCAAACAAAACTCAAAAGGAACATCAGTGAGCGATGAGACACATTCAGGTGGCCCAATATAGGTGTAATTGAAATTCCTGAAGGACAAGAGACAGAAGAGGAAAAAAAAATAAACTGAAGAAATAATGACTGAAAGTTTTACAAATTTAATGAAAACTAAACACCCACAGTCTTAAGAAACTCAACAAGCCTCAG